ATGGGCAGCTCAACTGACGCTGCTCACTCGATCAACGAGAAGCTGGACAAGAGGAACTACATTGAGGGCACCAAGCTGCTAGGAGCCTACTTGCACTACGTCGCAGGAGAGATGAAGCGCGAGTAGAATGCCGCACTATGAGTAACATCGTCGGTCTGGTTCCCGTAAATACTTAGGTGGTTTGCTACCAACAAGAAATAAATACCCATTCAGCAGTGTGCTTCTCAGTCGACCCCAGCTCGATGACGTGACGGGCTCATGTCGTGCATTTTCATCGATATCTTAGGATTATGACAATTCGCACAACGTTGAAATATAGTCTTGCGCACTGTACCCTGATTATGTGCCGGCGGTAGTCTGGGGGTGGAAGATGGGATCCCGCCCAGCTTTGACCACCCCGGCGCGGAACAACTAAAAAAGTTCGGCATCGCTCCACCAGGAACGGCCAGCACCGTGCCAACGCGTGCACCACAGCAGGCACGCCAACCCACACACCCAATTCCACAATGTCAACATGTAAATCCCTCCTCCGAGCCTGTCCCTCGCAACGGACGACGCCGTCGCTCCTGCCCCTCACCCAATGCCGCTTCGAATCCACAACCCGGCGACACAGAAAACTGCTCGCACTCCCCGAAGCCCCATCCTACACACCCGACCGCTCTGCGCCCACACTGGTCTTCAATCCGCCGTCCTCGGCGCCAAACGTCTACCACACCCCGCTCAAGTTCCTGCCCAAGGAAGATAAGCGGAGACAGTTATACGCTGCCGCCCAACAATACGCAACCAAACTGGCGCACACGCGGCAATCCTCGCCCATTGCCGCACCGGGAACACCGCTCAGCACAGAAGGTTTCTTGCCTCCGCGCCCTTCAGCATCCCTGCCTGCGCCGCTCCGGAAGCCGTACGAGAAGACGTATCATCTCAACGAGGCGGACATTGCCGAGATTAGGAGACTGAGGAGTGCGGACCCGGATACGTGGACTAGAGTTAAGCTAGCGGAGAAGTTTGGCTGTAGTCAATTCTTTGTGGGCATGGTGGCTAAGAACGAGGCGAAGGCGGAGAGGGTGGAGAAGGAACACGAGGCTGCGAGGAGGAAGTGGGGTACAAGGAGACGGGAGGCTAGGGAAGATCGGGGGAGGAGGAAGGTGCTTTGGGGGAGGGACGCTTAGATGGATGGTGTTTCTGGAGGCTATTTGGGTGGCTCTTGTATGATCTTGGCTTAGATGGCGCGGAGCCTGGGTGGCTTGGGATACGGAAACAATGTGGATATGGTATACGATATGTGTAAAGCGCAAAGGAATATTTGTAGTCTGGTATATCATACTACCGATTTGAAACACATACCGATCCAACCCGTCGTTGAACCGTGTTCTGAAGGGTATCATCCCAAGCCGTTGCAAACGCCAGATTCCTTCATGAAATACCACGCATCACCTTGCACCATCCCTTTCCATCTCAATCCCCTTCCCTACCCTGAAAACAAATCCTTCGCCGTCCCTCGCGCCCACACCAACCCTCCAGCACTCAAATCGGCCTCGACTAACCACCTCCCATCGCTGCACTCTCTCCTTCTCAGCATCTTCCACGCTAATCCCCGGAGCAAACTTAACTACATCCACCCGCCGAACTGCCAATCTTGTAACAGGGGAGCCTTGTGGCCACGATGTAGGCAACGACGGCCGGTACGATGACAGCGTGGTAGACTGCGATGTCAGTATTGTAGCGCAGGAGAGTAGCTTGCCCAGTTTCGCAACGCGGGTGGTAAGCTGTGTGGATGCCGTCGCGAGGGTATTCGAGGAGCTAGATACAGTAGTACTGGTATTCCGTATCGACCAGACGAACGCATCGATGTCTTCAAGGATGATGGAGTGGATACGACGGTGCATGCTCTTATGTTGAGGATCATCATTGAGAAGGTATTCTGGTAGTGAGTCAAGAGTCGCGAGGAAAGAGGACCAGGACTGTGGGCGGAAGATGTGGAGATGTGGTAGTGCGGTTTTGATTGTGGATTTCATGTCGGCTTTGAGGACGTCGTTGATTTCCTTTTCCGCGGTGACAAGGCTGGTTTTGAGAAGGGTGAACATGACTTCTACTAGTCGGGGGATGCTGAAGTGGTGCAGTGGGTCGAAGAGTATGACGGCGCCTTCTTGGCCATAGAGAGGGGTGGAAGAGAAGCTGGGAGGGAGGATGGCGTGGGCGATGATGAGGTAGATGAGTGAGGTTTTCCCTGCTCCTGAGGCGTGATGGGTTGGCGGTGGAGAGATGATTTCGAGGATTGGTGAAGATGGGTTTAGCATTAGGCGGTCGATTTCTGGTATGTTGAAATGAGAGGGTTGGGCCGTGTTTGTGTTGTTGGCTCTGTTGGAATCAGTATCAGTTTGTGTAGCACGAAAGTAAAAGTTGAGAGAAAAGAATGTGTTAGTTATGAGGAGTAAACGTACATTCCATGTTCCTGCGACATAAAATCACGTAGAGACTTGAACAGCTGTATTTTCGTTAACATTACTCAACTCGTGCATCGAGCGTGTGTCGATATGACATACCGAGCTCAGGTCCTCGACCTCAACTTCGATCAACAACTTCTCCCCCAACCTCTTCGCCCCATCACCATTCATTTCCATCTCCCATGCAGATCAACCCTTGACCCTTTCCAGTCCTTTCTAGGCACGACCCTGCTCTTTTAATATCACTTCCCCCGCGCAATGGCGCCACCAATCTCCACAATCCCGGTGACCGACTTGGAAGCTTCGATCAACACTCTACCGTCGGGAAAACGACGGAATCCACCGGTCAATCTGAGCGACTGCGCACTGAAGGAACTCGTGCAGTATAAATGCAACGTAGAGGCGCCGAAGAAGAAGGGCGCTGCGCCGCAAATCATATGCGAGCCGCTGGTTCACTTGTTAAGAAAGTGAGTGTTGGTGGAGTGAGGTGGAAGGCACGAGGTCTTGGCATTGTGACCAGGAACTGGGAGTTGGTGTTATCAAGCTGAGCGCATGGCTAATGAGAGTATAGGTGTTCAGGAGGTTTGACTGTGGAGACTACGGCGTGGGAGGAGTGGAAGGCGAAACAGGAAGGTGCGATGGTTGAGCGATGAGATCAAGTCACCACCCACAGCCTCACACAACATCGTACTTTAGGTGGCGGTTTACACAGGAGGCATGATTATTATACATGTATTTTTAACTATGAGATCTTGCTAAGGATTCAAGGAGTAAATCCAATCTAAATATGAACTCGATGGGATGAATAGTGAGTTCGCATTGACCAAACTTTGTGTAGCCTTCAGCTACGCTGTGTAGGAGAGCGAGTAGACTATAGTACAACTTGCAACGAAAAAAATAGACAATCAACGCCGCCTTAATGCCTAAAACGTATCTCGAAGCCCCGCGGCCGAAATGCAGGTACCCAAACGCCTCGCTATCAAAATGCTAGTAAAACGACTTTTTCTGAAGGTGTCGCCGCCATTGACCGGCTGTGACGAACTATGAGACGCCCGTCGCGGATTTCCTCCAGTACTTTTGGTCGTAGTTGACGTGCACGCCTTCTTCCAGATTGACGTTACGATCGGCGGTGGGCTGCCGTATTGGAGCGTCTTGATGCGTGTTGTAGTCATCGTCGTCTTCGTCCATTTGAGCTTGCCGCCGCTCTTCTTCCTTCTCTCGCTGGTTCTCTTCATCTAGCAGGTCTGTCATGGCGGCTTGCCACAGTTGGTCGCTCTCTTTCATGCGCCTACTGCGCTTCCGCTTGCCAACATTTTGCTTCTGCACGCCTGCCTTTTGCGCCGCCATGAGTTTTCGCAGACTCTGCTCGGCAAGAATGCCCTCTTCTGTCGCCTTCTCCCTGATTTTGCGCGGGTCATTTTCGCGTTTTGTGAAGACTGGCGTCGCTGTGTATGTGTGTTTCGACGGGAATCCAGGGAAGTGTTTTGGTATGTATGGACGCGTTTCTTTGTCCGCCTTGCCGGAGAGTCCAGGGCCTAGCAATGACTCGGTGTCGGGCGGCGGAGCTTCTGGAGGCGCGGGAGGTGCAAAGTAGGGCTGTAAGACAGACGACGGGATCTCGCCTGTGTCGAAATGTTGTTCGAGGGGCGCAGAGCCGCGCAGGCCGGCGGAAGTGAGGGCATAGATCCAGTCGTGCGCGACCGTTTCGGTGCGTCGCGAGCTGATCATGGACGTGCGTACTTGTGTTAGAAAGTTGGTCATGTCTGTGACGGGTCAGTCTGGAAAACTGCAGTGGGCACTCGCGGCCAGTCTCTGTCGCAAGGTGAAGCCATACAGGAATCAACCAGCGCCCGGAACTCCTCCAACGCGTCCGGACGCGCGCTCTCGAAACCGATGCCTTTACATTGGATGGCTATTGCGCGCCGCAGCTGCTGGTCGAAAAAGTCTTTGCTCTCGCCAAAGACATCGTGCTCCGCGCTGATGGGGTCGGCAATGTGCTGGATCGGCTGCGTGTGGTGCAGCGCCCGTACGACTTGTCGCTTCTTGGGGTGCGGCTCTCCGTACGTCGGCGCATGGTCCGCTTCATGTGCCCGCTTCATGCCTGCGATTGCGCCCTCGCTGCTGGCGCTGGGGGATAGTATGATGCCTGGCATATGCTGCTCGTTGTCGCGGATCCGGTGGGAGGGTACGCCGTGGGAGGAGGTTGCGCACGCGATGGTGGTTCCGGGGACGTCTCTATCGGTGGGTAAGGGCGCAGACGGGAGTGAGAGGGCGCATCGGTTGCGAAAGGGTGCCCTCGCGATGGGAGCGGACGTGCAGGCGCGTATTGTTTCTTATTCGATGGTATTGTTCCTTTCACCTGCCTGCTGCCGTTGTTCTTCAGTTGGGTCGGGAGCTTCCAAGGCGCGGGACGCTAGGACGCCTGCCTTACGTCAGCAGCACTGCGTTCTCCCGTCGAACCACCACACCTTCAGAGAGCCGCCGACGACATCCACCAGCTCCCGCAAACCGCACCCGCGCCCCAAAACTCTCCGCTCTCCCGAACTCAATTCCGCAATGGCTGTCAAACCGATCACCGGCGTAGGTGCTGCCATTGAGTGCCGTGGGCTGTAGTGCGCTGGACGCTAATGACTGGACTGCAGATGCTCCGACGACAGGTCGTGCTCGACCTCTCTGTCGCTATGGGTGCGTAGGAATCGGGCAGTGCATGGCTGCTATTTTCGGGGCTCAAAGAGCTCTGTAGCAATGCGCGCGTCAGCTTTGGACATTGGCTAACAGCGGTCACAGGTCTTGGCCTCACTGCCGGCTACGGCTGGTGGTACGGTACGTGAATCAGTCACAGGCGATGCGACTGCGCTTCCTATCCTCAGAATCTTTATTACGCCCATACTTACTATCCAAGGCTACCACGTCCCTGCCGTCCGTCACCGTGACGCCTTCTACCAGAAGCTCGAAGACGAGCGCGCATCATCTCTCGGCCAGAAATAAGCGACTGTCCTTCGCGAATCGACATCTCCTTTGTATCGACAGGTCACGAAAGCATAGAATGGGCATAGCTGGGGATCAGATGTATCATAGGTGGGGGGATCTCTCGACAGCAAGCCAAATCAGACTCCGTCAAACGACCCCACGTATGCGTCCTTACGTGTAATGTGCTTTGTGACTACGGCTATCCATACAAATACCCAGTCTCGTCGCTCTTAAAAAGTGCTACTTGCTTGTGAAATGACGGCTCCACGCGCTCCCAGTCGTCGACATGATTGCTCGAACATGTGATTCTTACGCAGGCCGCTTCATTGGATTTGGACGTTCTGCACGTCAGAAAATGGCCTTAAAGTTTAGGCTTTTCCAGGATACGATGTGATCCGCATTTACCCATGCCTAACACGAATCTGATAAACTTGCAGAAGGTTATCGGGCGGGCTTGAACTTCGTCATATGCCTAAGGTTTACAACCCATCGAAAGGCGTTGTTCGTCGGATCCGCGGCGGCATCACTTCGCTCCTTCCACGTAAATTCTCCACATCGTGGCAGGTAAGGCGGTCTTGAACAATCACCCAGAGTGAATGCACAGTCTCGGGGGCATAGAGAAAGGGGGCCATCGAGCGTTCTCATGCATTCCTGAGGCATCGAGGAGACGTACAGAGTGATGACCAGGCTGTTGATTTGGGAGGGGTACATGACGATGAAGATCATCCTGATATCGAATTGGGTGCACCCCATCAAGGGAAAAACTGAAAATCTGTCTTCGCAGTACAATTACCAAAGATAAAGCTAAGAAGTCTGCATTGCTTTAACAATCTACAGCCTCAAGATCTCAAGGCAATGTAGACTTCAGGGCCTTTGTCCGGTTTTCCCCTTGAAGGCGTGTGGGCGCGCTGTCTTCTCAGAGCAATGGTTGCGCAGGGATGATAGCAAAAAAATAAACATAGACGGTTGTTCGCGATCGATGGACGTGAGCTGAGGGTAAGCGCACGGACTCATCGTGAGGGTTGCTCCGCTCTTGGAATCTGGTTGCGAGCATCCATATAGCCCGAAGATACCACTCTGTTCATGTGCTTCACGGAATTTCGCCAGTCGCAAAGACTGTGTAGAATTCCCCGAAGCAGTAAAGAGAGGCATCTGGCCGTGTTTAAGTTCGATGCAATTCCGATGCATCGATGATGGTGGTTACAAGTCGTCTCACTAAGCGTGCACGAAACTGTTGATAGGCCGTTGTGACGTATCAGGCCAATGACGGAACGCTGTGGATCACGAGGCGCGACGCGACACGTTGTATGCTAGATTGTTTCTTCATCACGAACGCAAGAAATGGTCGCAAGAAAGGCCGAAATTCAACTGCAAGACAAAGCAGCGGTGGGGGGAGCAGAAACGTGTCAAACGCTGGATGCTATTGGCTGGCGTCCGGCTTCATTGTTCCCTGGCGATCATGCCCAATCCATGGGACTGACATGGGACTGCAGGGGGGGCTTTCCGCCAAGGATCGACGCGAACCAGAGACGGAAGGGACAGTGGCGGAGCAAGCGAAACTTGTGTGAGAGGAGGTGGCCTCTTGGATGGGTAGGTGATGGACAGGCAGCTCTAGATGCGGAGATGTCAAGAAAAAGCAGTGTCAGGGATGGAGGGCGTATGAGGGAGGGCAAGGTGACTGCTTTGACAGCGGCGTTGTTGGTTCGGAACGGGGTGGAGGCCCATAGTCCTGTGCCATAGCGTCCGGCGCTTTAGTGCGAGATGTGGATAACTAGTCCTTCACCATCTTTTAGGGCAACGGGTGGCCGATCACCAGCGACCTGGCTTGTAGAGGACGAGTACGAGGGCGTCGAACTTCACAGCTTTCAGTGGCGATGGCATATGATCCATACTCATCTTGATATTCATATACATGGCGAATGAGGAATTGTGCGATTGGCAGCTTGCATCCATGGGGCTGCCATGTGTCCTTGATAGGGAAAATGGACGAGATGATTTGAATTGAAGGCGTTATTGCCCTGATCACCGCCTGGCGCAGATGACAGCTAAAGCGGCTAGTGAGCGATGGTAGTGGAAAAAGCAGCGGAACCCTCGCAGGGCATCAGGCAGATGGCATGGCGCCATCCAAGCCACAGGGCTTCCTGACGTTTGGGATGAAACCGAGCAGTCGTCGATACGCACACCAGGCGCTGCATCGTAGAGCTGCCACAGTGCTCAAACACAACACAGAGCAAGACGACGAACGACTGCAAGATGAGAGCGACGCTTAGACCGGCCGAGCGGGGAGGAGGGAAGACGAGCAGAGCACATGGTTCGTCCTGCCACCAGAAGTGCGGAAGATTTGGCGGGTCCCAGCCAAGCGCTAGTGCCGTTCATTCGACGAACCTGTGAGACCTAGTCGTCGACAGAGATGGGGGGCGCAACAGGCACCCGCTGGATCCGTCGCCGGCCGTGGTAGCAACTTGATATACATGAATCAGACATGCAGCACGTCGTCAGCGCAGCAAGTCGTCGTGCGCATGCCTCGACAGCTGTTCCTTTGCACTGGGGGCATGACCCAGGCGGACCGGGGCAGGAGCGTTAGAGGGCCTACCAATTGCAGGCTAGCGGATAATCCCTGCAGTTTGGACGAGGTAGGTGCGACGGGCGCGATTGCTGCACCTGGGCTGCGACGCACGCCCATTCTGTCGCCTTTCGCAATCTTCCTCGCTCACCCACCCACCAAACACGTCTGCCTTTGCATCTTAGTATTTCCTGTTGCGACGACATCTTCACTGCGATAGCTGTATCCTGGTCCCATGGACACGTCGTCCTGAGCCCTGCAGCTGCATCATTTAGGCGCCGTCGTTTGGGTCCACGGGTGCTGCGCTAACCTTGCGCCCTGTCCGCAAGTGTCGATCAGTCTCGAGCCGCAGCTGGCGTCGTCCTCTCGAGCCTCCGCCTTTCACTCACCTAAGCACCTAAGCCTCACTCCAGGTGAGCAGCTGTGGCCCTGCCTTTCCTCGCGTCTTGCCCATAGAGCCGCAGGCCCAGCTCTCTTCCACGACACCCGACACGTTTTCCCCCGTGGCCGCTTCCATCTTCTCCCACGTCACCGCTGCCCTCGCCGTTGCCGTTACCGTCACCGCCCCCATCCCAGGTCTCACCAAGTCGTCTACTCGGCACCAGACACGACGCCTCGACGCCGGAGTCGTCCCACCGCCCGCCGCGCACCTGAAACTCTCGGCCTGCATGAGTGCTGCTGTTCACTGCACATCCGCGGCACTGCACCGCTGCCTGTATCTTGCGCACCTCCGCCAGCCTGCGACATAGCGCGCCCGTGGTCGTTCGCGCTCCACCACCATGAACAACCCCAACATGCAACAGAACGGCATGCAACAGAACCGGGCCACCGCGGGACTCCACCACTTCATCCAGCACTATCGCGTGCAGCAGCAACAAGGCAAGATCCCAAATGGCTGGCAGCAGGGCACGCAGCCGGAAGAGCGCGGTCAGCTGGCCCTCCAGTTCTTTACTCAGTACCGCCTGCTCAAGCCCGAAATCGCCGAGGTCGAGTCTATGCGCGCCGCCCTCCAGTTCGAGACGCAGACCTTCATGTCTTCTTCGACAAAGGACCAATACGTCTCCAACATCAAGCAAAAGCTCATCGTCATGACGACTGCGCGCCAGCAACAATTACAACAACGCATGCAAGGTGGCGTTCCCAACAACATGAACAACCCGATGAACGGCATGAATCCCGCCCAGATGAACCAGATGAACATGATGAATCAGATGAGTCAGCAAGGCGCCAGGCCCGGAGGCCCCCAGTTCAACCCGGCCTTTCCGAACGCCCAACTTCAGCGGCCCATGCAAGTTTCTCCTGTGCCCATGTCACAAGGGCAGTCTTCTATGGGTGTGAATGGGGCTAACCCCGCCAACATGCCCCAACAGGGACAAAACAACCAACAACCGAACATGCAACCCAACCAGCCCACGCAGAATCGTCAGGACCAACTGATTATCAACCAGTTCGCTAAAAAGCTCATGGATACTTGTAAAGAGGAGGTTCGGCTCAAATTCGAAGCTGATATTCGCGCATGGCCCGAGGATAAGAAGCAGCAGCTGCTCGCTCAGGGTATCAACCCTCTCTTCCTCCGTTTCCGACAACACGCCGACATGCTCTACAGAAGAGGCGCCCTCAATCAGCAGGGAGCTGCGCAAAATGCCGGCGCCATGCAGGGAGCTGCTCAGCCGAACCGGATGCAGGCCCAGCAGATGGGCATGAATCCACGTCAGCCTAACCAAGAGTTTGACTTCACTGAGATAGCAAATCGGCAAATGGAAGCTATGCGCAGCCAGGACCAGGGCAACACAGTAGTGCCTGCAAGCAACAACCAGAATAACGGTGGTCAGATGGGCGGCTTCCAGGGCCAAAACGCACAACAAAACGCATCACAAAATGCCATGGCACAGCGCCAGGCTGCTGAGGCATTTCACCGCCAACAACAGGCACAGCAGGCGCAACAAGCGCAAGCACAAGCTCAGGCCCAGGCTCAGGCGCGGTTGGAGCAACAACGGCAGCAACAGGCGGCGCAAGCACGCAACCAGCAGAACCAGATGCTCCAAGGCCAAATGGGCGGTCTGAACATGCCCCAGGGTTCTCAGGCCAGCCCTGCCATGCCTATGCTCAACCGGCCGATGGCTCCACCGGGACAGGCAGGACCTCCTGGTACACCGCAACAGCAACGGCCCCCTCAAGCTCACGTTCCCATCATGACGCCTCAACCCGGACAGACTGACCCCAACCTGTCCGAGCTTATGCGACAAGCGCAGCAAAGAGCTGCCGCCGTGCAGCAGGCCAACCAGCAACCGCTGACTGACCAGGTTCGCATGAACATGATGCCGGCCGACCTAGACCCGAACGTCAAGCAGCAACTGCTCAAGGTTCCGGAGCCTCAGTTCCGCGTAATACTACAGAGCTACATGATGAATCTTCGTCGCAATGGCGGAATTCAAAATGGAGCCTTCCCCCCGGG